CATACTTGACCCAAGGTAAAGTCTGTGTGCTATAGGTATTCACTGATAAACTACAGTACTAAATGTAAGATTATTTTACATCTGAAATATTATATATTTGTAACTAAAATACACAAATACAAATGTATGCAATATATATAATATGAAATACATTTCCATTATTACTACCAGAAAGTCAAATGGCTGGCATTTGTTAATGAGTAAGTACTCTGTATCGGTATCGGCGAGTACTGAAATGCAAGTACTCGTACTCGTTTTCCAAAAAAGTGGTATCGGTGCATCCCTACTTCCTATTGTAACCCTGTCAGATAATGAAGATGACCTCCACCTTTATTACATTCTTATCAGATGCAAATTCACAAAGATAAGATGAACTTTCTCCTAGTTAAACATTTTTCATGTAAGGTAAAGTCACAGGGAATATATAGTCAAATCTAAAACGCTTGCCCTCATTTTCATAGTCTTGGTTGGTGCAGTAATTAAAATCATATTGCCTCAAATGAAATCTCCTTATTTTATAATAATACCTGTTCTTTTCATATTCAAGTCTTAGCTACTCAAAAATAGTGACAAGCGCTGATTTATGTTAAATTATCAATTACTTGGTTTGGTCAAACGGTTCCCCCATGAGGATATTTTCTTGAACAGTTCCGTGAAAAATCCAGGCCTGCTGGGAGACGTAAGCAAATGTCCCATCGGCTGTGATGGAGCCCCGAAGAAGGTGCATCTAAAAGATAAAATCAAGGAGACAGAAAAGCTATATTTACTGGACATTTTATGTACGGTTAGAAATAGTAAAAACTTCTTCTTTCTCCTCCTTCGTCTCTTGTTAGACCTTGCCACGGCTGATCGTATGCCCTATTCATATATATGTATTGACTTTCATCCCTTTTCTCTCCAGTGTGTACTTCCACCTCTCCAGGCTCTTTTCCACCTGCTCCACACTCTTAATAAAGATCACAGTATCATCTGCATACATCCTAGTTCACAGAGACTTCTGCCTGACCTTTTCTATCAGCATATCCATCACCACTGCAAAGAAGAAGAGGCTCAGAGCCACTCATTGATATAATCTCATTTTCACTCCTACCACACACCTCACAACTGTCTCGTTGTCCTCGTACATGTCTTGCACCACCCTAACATACTTCTCTGCTACTGAGAGAAGTGCAGCACCACAGTTTGTCTTGTGACACCCTACCATAAACCTTTTCTAGATTCACACAAAGACACAGTGCAACTTCTTCTTACCTTCTCTCTGCTTCTCGGTCAACAATCTCAAAGCAAACATCAAATCTATAATGCTCTTTCCTGGCATGAAGCCATCGTTCTGCTCACTGATCGTCACCTTTCTTACCAACCTACCTTCAACAATTTTTTCCTGTAGCTTTATGGTATGACTCAAAAACTTTATCACTCTCTGTCATCTACATAATTCTGAAGATAAAATTGGAGATTACTACTATGTTTGCAAACAAACTGTAACAGCTTCCTTCTACACAAGTGTTATGCAGATAAGATATGTAGAAGATTGTTTTGTTATATACTAAGATACAGCATGAAGTAGAAGTGCAAGCATGCAGAATTTCCCCAACTCAGACAGTGCCCTGCTTCTAGTCTCTGGATTGATAAGACTTGTTTAGCTTATCTGCTACATATATCCTGTTGACCTGTGTAGGGTGACTAGTTTTCTGTCTTGCAACAGGGTAACAACCTATACAGGTGGGGTCTGCTTCCCCTGTTCCAGAGAATTCCTCACTTCAATCCTGCATGCCTTGTACTGACTGAATTCCTTCATGCGAGAATAAACCTCGCAAATGAACTCCAGTAGTAGGACTTATTTTATTTAATCGACTACATTTAAATAACAGACATTAGCTGAATCCTAGTAGCATTAGCACAAGTTTTGCCTAATAACGTGTCTTCAAGCTAACAAAACAAAAAGAAGAAAAAGGTTATTACACTTTTGCACATCACCCTTGCCGTGGTCATAAATGCCTTTCAAGTCTTCATCCTCTTCATAGCTGCCCTCACCTTCTTATTAATCCCCTGCACTTCCTGATTCACAAACTTTCCTCCAACAGTCCTCCTGTTTCGCTCACTGTCTACATTCACTGAATCCTCAAAGTCCTCGTTCTATCTTCTCAACGCATGCAAATAACGAAAGAGTGAACAAAAAATAAATAAAAGAAAACTATAAAGAAACGATGCAAAATAACAGAAAAGGACAAAAACACAAAAGAGAAAGCAACCTGTTCCAAAATGCTGGAAATCAGTGATGTCTTTCCACTCCCCACATTCCCACAGACACCGAGCAGGTTGCCCTTCGGGAAATACCAGAGACAATCAGTTTACTTTTAATAGAATGCAGATAACCTGAGATATCATTATCAGAATTGAATCACACCTTAGGCAGTGTGAAGGAGATGTTTTTCAATGCTGATGAGGATTCAGTCTCAGCTGTCTTGTGTTCTGACACTCCGTTGGCTGTGCTGGGTGGGGGGGAAGACTGGCTTTCAGGTCTGGTCCAGGAAAATGTAGCATTTTTCATCACTATAGCCGAGTCATTATCTACCTTTTTCATCAGGTAGGGCTCAGGATTCTGGATCAGCAAAATTTTCTGAAATAACAACAAACAGCATTTACAAGCTTATCTGTGTTTTTCTGTTGATATTTCTGAATGAAAGTCAGATACAAGGTGTGACAAAAGCAAGGGTTAAAGTAAGACAGGAATCAAAGCAGCGTTAAACCAGGTTTGTGATGCAGGTTGACAATATATCTTATATTTAAAGATGTGTACCTGAGATGACCTTATCATGCATAGCATCTGCCACTGGCAGCCAGCAGTACAAAAAAAAATAAAACTGTGATTTTAGAAACGTCTGAATTGTGAGGTTTTGGCTCGCTTGTGCATATGCTGACTTCATTATTTGAAAGTGTGTTCATATGAGCATGCATCAGTGTAAGAATATATATGACAAAAGACACAAAAAGCACAATAGAGTCACTACATGAATTGTTAACAGTTACAGAGGGCACAAAACAAATAATTTACCCTTAATCGTTTTAGTGCTACAACAGCCTCAGCTGTGGCCTTCACAGACGGGGGCAGGACAACGAGGGAGAACCTCATGCAGTTGAAGATGCCAATTGTGGTAAAAGCCTAGTAAAAACAAAGAATTATGTTAAGACACTATATATGATTATGGAATGCAAGAAAATCATGTTGATATTAAATGGGCCACAGCAAACCGGGTTAGCACAATCGCAATTAAAGGAATGCAATAAACCTTTATTTCATTATCTTATGACTCATATCCAAACAGTCTGAGTTTCAGAAATGCAGAATCTCAGACTTGTTCCTTTAAGTTGACATGTTAGTTAAAGGTGTTTTTCCGCCTGTACAGTTTTAGTATACTGCTGTAGTACTCACATCAGAAGTGCTGAGAGGTAACCCCAACAAAGTGTGAACCAGAAAGGTGAGGATAGTGGCAATGGAGGGTAGGATGTTGGCGATGCTTATATTAATAGTCTGGACATAACTGACCTTCTGTAGTTGTTTCTTTTCATTTTTCCTTAAGCCTGTAAGAATTAAAAGTTTTTCATTAGTTAACTTTATCTTTAGTGACTTACCTTTTTTCTTTACTGTAGTTCTTTAGTGAGCACCTTAGTAATGAGCAATAAGGCATTCAGATGACTACATTATGATCATTTTTTAAACAAGAAACTACCAAGAGTACAGACTGAAGACCTAGACCTCACAGTGTTGATAAGAAAGTTAACAAGATCATAAGATACTAAAGCATATCATATTCCCACATGCACTTTACTTGTCATAGGAAAATGAGAACATGTGCCCCAGATTTGGCAGCAAGCCAGTGAATGTCCATAGAAGTTCAAGGTAAATTGAAAGTAAGTGAGAGTTCAAGATGTTCTCACAAACAACTGCATGTTTTAGAGGCAGATGACTGCTTCAACTTGTAATGAAGGGAGTCTAACAAATAGATATACTTGTGAGAGGTACATAAAAGTGTATGAATTAGTTAGACATGAAGTCACCTTACTCATTATTGATCTGTAGTTGCGGTCAGAAGTTTACATACACTCATGAATGTCATTGTAATTTAGGGCTTTAACTATTTCTTTAAACAGTTCTGTCTTTGGGATGTAATGACGGTGTTGATGGTTCTACAATGTGTTTTCACTTGACTGGACCAAAACCTATTATTATCTCGTTAGTGATAATGATTAAAGGCAACTTTTAGGTTCTTTTTGCCAGCATAAAAAGGATTTCATTAACAGCAATCATTGGACGGACCAATACTCAGAACAATGGGGAAGAGAAAGAACTCAGTGAAGATCTCAGAAAGAGAAGTATTGATTTACACAAGACGCAGATTCCAGGATCATCATTTCAAACAATTCTAAGTACAAGAACATCGACATCAGTTTTCACAGTGAAGTGAGTTATAGCTTCATGGACTGAGAGGCTGCCAACCAAGAAAGAAGCCCCTGCTTCAAAATCGACACCTTCAGACTTGACTGAAATTTGCACATGGACAAGCCAAATGCCCTCTGGAAAAAAGGTTTTATGGTCAGACAAGACAAAGATTGAGTTATTTGTCCACGGTGATAAGAGATACGCTTAGAGAAGTAAAGATGAGGCTTTCAAACCTAAGATAATAGTACGAGCTGTAAAGCATTGTTGCCTGGGGTTCTTTTGTGGCCAGTGGTACCTCCAAATTCTTCCACTTTGGCACAAAATTGGTTTTGCAATGGATAAATTAGACTAACATTTAGAAGACCAGTCCAGAAGCTTAAAGCCCTAACCTCAACCCTCTTGGGGCTAGGCTTGATGATGGTGACCAAAAGCATCTGGACTTCTGATCACAACTGTACATAAGGATGCCCATACATACCATTGTGACTATATGTTTGCTGATTTTGTTTTTAAACAAATTGGTGTGTATGAATATTTCCTTGATATTTGACATACTGATTAAAAAAATATCAACATGAAACAGCTTGACATACCTGTAATCGTCTTCTCAAAAGAATCTTCCCACGCGTACATCTTGATTAGCTTTATACTGTTGAGAATCTCATTCATCGTGCGAACTCTGCTGTCGGTTATCAATAAGGACTTCCATCTGAATTTATTTATGAGTTTGGCCAAGAAAATCTACAAAAATCAAGAAAAATACATTATGAGTGACTAAAGTTAATAAGAAGCAAAGTAATATATTTGGGATAATATAAGAAAAACACAGAAAAATCAGTTTTGCTATCTTAGCAGCTTACTAAACAAGGAAATGAGTTTATAGAAAGGTAAAACATACCGTTCTATATGCCTCAATTTTTTGTGATATAATATTTTGTTCTTATTGTTCTTATTCTTATTTTTTATTGTTATTATTATATTATTGTTACAAACCTCATTTATGCAGTTTTTGGGTTTTTGTTTTTTTTTTGATTATTTTTGTTTGTCTGGTTTTTGCAACATTAGTATTTGCCATTATTTTTCATTAGCTCATATTAAACACATACTTATATTTCATTATTGGTCAGTATTGAGTTTTAGATATTAAGAATTTTATGCTAGCAAAAAAGAGTTTCTGGCATAAAAACAAACTATTTGCATTGTTGCAAACACCTCCCCCCTGATCAAGCTTCCTGAAGAACTATGGAGTCTCCACAGGGAACCTCTTCCAGGACCCTAGCCACAAAATAGGCCAAACATTTTTGAACAATGATGTAATTTATGTAATTTTGCCTCTCTACACTATCACTATGCACAAGGTGCAAAAGCTTTTCCCTAGGCAGTACATTAGGACTTTTAATTGAGCCCTTGTTTTTCCCTTTTCCTGGGTCAGAATTGTAGTGGGAAATTCTACAAGAACATATTGTCCTGAGCAAAACAGCTCCCAGGAATATACAAATCCTTTACAACATTAAGGTTAAAATCATTTCTGTTGCTAACATCAAATTTGGAAATATAGCATACAATTTCCAAAATTTGGATTTGCTAACTTTCCACTATTTTCAGTTAAAATAAGAACCAACTTTCTTTTCACAGCTTCTAATGTAAAAATATGTCAGATTTATGTGAAATATACACAGACCTGTACAGGGACAAAAATCAAGTATGTGAAGATTCCAGTCAGTGCGGTGTAGCCCAGGATGTAGCATGTGTAGACAATACACAAAACATAGAGCACTGTGCTAGACAGCACAAAGCTCCCAAGCACTACAGCCTCGAACATTCTCTGGCCATCACTGGTCAAAATGTTAATCATCTAGACAGCAGAAAGATATGAAGAAAAGTCAATTAGGAATTGCATCAAAACAAATTTCTTTTATGTCAAAACAAGTTCAAATTATTTGTAGTACTATTGACTCACAAGATAATTTATAATACATTATGGAGGGATAGAAAGAAGAATACATGAGATATTTAAAACATGTAAAACATATGTATACACGTCAAAATATAAAGCATGCTCATTCAAGATAGAATATAGCAACAAAGACAAACAAGGGTTGCTTTTCATGTTCACAGATGTCTATAGCAGACATTACATCTGGTCCACTAATGTCTACCATGGACACAAACAGCACCCCACATCCAAGTTTGTTCCACTACAGCGTGGGTGAAAGCAATGTCAAAGTTTTTTAAAGCAAAAATGAAATCTTTGCTAAAAAAGACATTAGCATATCGTTAGCTTCATAGCATAAGTGCCTAAGTCATTTTTTGGTCAAATTGAGATTTTTGCCTAACTTTACTCCCCTACCACTTCTGCATCATCCTGTCCGTCTGAAACACAAAACACAAAAAAATGACTTAGGCACTTATGCTATGAAGCTAACGATATTTTTGTTACACTGGCCTCTGTAGGCTATCAGCTGTAAGAATATTGTACAAGTGGATAAAATTACTTTAGAATCAATTACAAGAGCATTAAAACTTTCTCAGACAAATGTGGCTATATTGCATTTACCATAGAAGTGAGAACTAGTCTTTACCTCTCCCATTGAAACACCGCTGTATACCCGCAGCGATATGATTTTCTGAAAAGCCACTGTAGAGAAAGCCCCTTTCAGTCTCACTGCTGTGCGCAGGTTTATTGCCCACAGCAAGGATATTAGGAGAGCTTTGCAACATTCTGTGGTGAACAGACCAATGGACAAACCAACACCATAGGACACTGTGTTGGACACGGACTCCTCTGGGTTTTCAATATAATTCAAGATCATGTTGATCAGTACAGCCTGAAAGAACAGGGAGAAAATGGTTAGTGACACTTAAATAACATGAATCTTTAAGATCAAATTACATATTTTATATCACCAAGGACTGAGAGGGTGCAGAGAAAGAACGAAGACCCTGCTGCAAAATCGACACATTTGGGTTCGACTGAAATTTGCAGCTGCCCACATGGACAAGTCGAATGCCATCCATGAACAAATTACACGGTCAGACAAGAGCAAGACTGAGCTATTTGGCCACAATAACAAGAGATACATTTAGAGGAGTAAAGCAGAAACTCTCAAAGCTAAGAACACTGTACCAGCTGTCAAGCAAGGCAATGGAGGCATAATGCTATGAAGCTGTTTCCCTGCACAATGTACAGACTATCTCCAAATTTTTCAACTTCATCTTAACAGATACATGGTAAAAACTTGGACAAAGTTGTTTTTTTCAACAGGACAATGATCTGGGTCTGTGCCAGAAAATCAACCAATTTAAATGAACTGTACTAGTTCTGTGAAGAAAAGTATTGAAGTTTGATGATGGCTACCAAAAGCATCTAGCTGAGGTGCAAATTGCTCGGGAAATTTAACAAAAAATGAGTGTAAGTATATTTTTAGGCTTGTAGGTATACTTTTAACCCTGTGGGGATTTGAAAAAATCTGAAATGTTTTCAAACTTACGCACCCAATTTTTAAAGTCATTAATGATGTGTGCTGTACAATAGTTCCACCCTGAAAAATGAAATAGTTCAAAGAAAATAAAAGAGGCACAGAATTACCGTGACATTCATCCCCTTGATGAGTGTATGTAAAGTTCACCACAGATGTACATATTAGTTATTATATATTGCTACACTTTCAGGTACTACTTTTCAGAACAAAATGTGCTTTCATCACAAGATCTGAGATTAAAATCATTGTTTGTTTTTTTACTTATGTGCACCTTCAGATGACTTGATGACATGGTTCCTCTCTAAATTGCTCAGATGCGACATTTAGAAATGGCAGAAATGCCTTTGGACAAAACTGGTTTCCACTGTATACAGCTGGGATTGTTCATGTTCTAATATCTAAGAACATAAAACACAGAGATGATGACTCACCGGGCCCAAAAATGCTGAAACCATGGCAAGAATACCAATAATGACAGAAACAATCAGCCTGGTTCGTTGAAAGTGAAAGGCCACACGAACCAGTGAGGCTTTTTCCAGACCCCTCTTTGCCACTTCTTCATCCCAGAGTCTCTGAAACCTGCCAGACACTTACAATCAGGACCTACTCACCCAGCAGTCTGTTTTTCTTTTAAATATTATAGGTACTTAGTAAATTTCAAGTACTTTTCCAACTGTCACTATGTCTTTGGCTTTTGACTGTGATCCCCTTGACTGATTTTTGGATATGTTGTGTTTAAATCTGAATATAATATGAAGAGAAAAGACCTTTGTGCACTGGTGTCAGCAATATCAAAAGGAGACAACTTTAGCTCGGAGATGTCCAGCTTATTCCTAAAAATGGACCACATCAAGGGGGTCATCCAGGCAAAAGTCATGAAGGACAGGAAACCTGCATTGTCCACAGGGTGGGGCCTAAATATAAAGCAGACATAAAATGTTGTGTGAAAGGAGGGCATTAATACATTTCCAAGTATAAAGTATTTATATGGAAACAAATAACTAGCCATCAAATATTATCTAAGTTCATCTAAACGATCAAGTTTGATATTGACACTGACTGTGGTGAGGAAAAACGCAAGGGCTTGAGCATCTGCAAGCTCTGCTGATATTTTCTAAATGAGGAAGGGTGATCCCTTTCACAGCTGTGCACACAAGGATCATCTGGATTGATGATCTCAGATCCAGTTCGCCACTGGACACCATCGTCTGCCTAAACAGTCAAAAAAGCAAAAAGAAAGTATAAGACAACCAGTAAAAAAAGCAGAGTGGATGAAAGACTGAGGTTGTGCCTTAGTCAATAGCTAAATGTCTGAAATTAGCTAAGCATCTAAAAGGAAAGCAGGATGTGGATGATGGAAAAGATGTCAGGAAGTAAAAGCAACATGTAAATTTGCTGTTTGTTTAGTACTTACAAAGGAGAGTCTTCGAGTGCCATTCTCCTCCAGAGAATATTTTTTCTTCATTTTGTTCTATGTTAAAAGAGACCAAACCACAAAGTTGAAATGATACTAACCAACATGATAATTCAAGTAGAAATGTCTAATTTAAGAGCATTATTTACCAGAATCAGAAAGAGGAGGCTGTAATACATCACACATGTAATGCTGGTTTTAAACTGCCCTGCCTTAAGTCCAGACCTGTTACTCACTCAAAACATTTAATGCGTTGTGAAACAAAAATAAAACAAAAAAGGCTGTGAACTGGTAAGTAGCTGAAATCCTCCATGAAGCTAGAATGTCCTTTTAAGAATCATTGAAAGGCTGAAAAAATGGGTTGGTGTATCTGGAACTGCATTAGAGTGGTTCTCCTCTTATCTCCATCACCGATCCTTTTCTGTGGCAGTCTCCGATTTTAGGTCATCCTCTACCTCCCTTACTTATGGTGTCCCTCAAGGGTCAGTTTTGGGGCCTTTATTGTTTTTAATTTATCTTCTTCCCCTCCAGCATATAATGGGCTCTTTTGAGGACATTTCTTATCATTGTTATGATGATATTCAGTTGTACGTTTCTTTTATGCCCGAGGATTTATCTAAGCTTCAGCGTCTGAATGATTGCTTAGATTTGATCAAATGTTGGATGGCTGCAAATTTCCTCCAACTCAACGAGGGGAAAACCGAAGTCCTCGTATGCACCCCTGATAGGTTTCTATTGCAGATAGTGAAAGCCCTTGGTCCTCTCTCACTTTATGTTAAATCCTCTATCAGGAATTTAGGTGTCACCTTTGACTCGAGTCTCACATTGGATGGGCATGTGAAATCTCTGGTTCGGTCTTGTTTTTATAATTTAAGAAATGTGGCTAGGCTAAGCCCGATTTTATCTCGCTCTGAACTTGAGATATACATGCATTTATTTCGCCACGCTTGGATTATTGTAATTCGCTGCTTACGTGTCTAAACAAAGGTTCTCTAACCACTGCAGAGCAGTACCACAAATGCCTATCCAGTGTTCCATTCGAGTAAAATATTGCCAAAGACTGTGTCAAAGGCAGCTGTTAAGTCTAGGTGAACCAAGATCACATGATCCTGAATCTGTAGCCAGGAGGATGTCATTAACAACCCTATGCAACGCAGATTCTGTGCTATGCAGAGATTTAAAAGCAATCTCAAAGACATTATTTTTAAATTTAAAAAGTTTTCAACTGACAAGCAATTTTCTCCAGAATTTTACAGAAAAGAGTAAGCTTGCAAATAGGCCTAAAATTTGATAAAATAGCGGGCTATTTTTCTGAAGCAGAGGTTGAGCTGTAGCATGCTTAAAGGTTTTAGGAAAAGTACCAGATAAAAAACTGGTATTAATAATAGCTAGAACAGATAGACCAAGAGTAGAAATGACCTCTAATAATTGAGGTGGAGCAACATCAATAGGGAAACCTAAGGGCTTCAGATGGCAAACAGAGAGAAAGTTACAGGCTCAAACTGGTAGAAAGCAACAGAGCAAAGAACAAGGGCTGAATGGTAAAGAGTAGGTGGTGTTATCTGAGCCCTGGCATTATTCACCTTTTCCACAAAGAAATTCAAAAATCCCTCACATGGCTCAGGGGAGCTAACAATGTGTGAACAGTAGAAGCAGACAGCTAAAGACAAGTTCATCAATTATTAACATCTATTTTAATGGATGACACATTTCAAGAATTTCCCATTTTAAATATAGTTAAACTAAATCTTGCTTAAAACTTAAACTGACTCATCAGAACATGAGGTGAGGTCTGGAAAAAGCATAATTTTAAAAGGTTTTGTACAGTACCAATTAACCATTCATTTGAAGGTTTAGTTAATGAATGGTTAACTGCTAGTTAGTATGTCCAAATTTTGGACCGATATTGAATCTGAAGAAAACAAGCTTTTTTTTTTCTGAATAATGAATTCTGTTCATCCATAACTAACACCTGAATATAAAGTGTTAATGAATGAACAGTGTCCTCATACCTGCCTCTCAGCTAAATCATCTGCACAGAACACAACAGGTCCTGTACTAATCAGATGGTTATTAGTTCGATCCAAGGCTTTTCCAGTCTGCATGCCAAATATCCTTGGGCAAGATACTAACCCCAAGTTGCTCTGTGATGCATCCATCAGAGTATGAATGTGTGTGAATGTTAGATAGAAAGTACTTAAATAAATAATAGGTGTGTGAATGGGTGAATGAGGCATGTTGTTGAATCAGTTCATTTATACCATTTAGATATGTTTAAGCTTAAAATCTTATCAACTTAAAGACTGCACATGCAGATTACAGCGCTGTTTTTGAAACATCTAACTAATAACATATAAAAAAACCCCACTAACTATTCCTAACTAAATTATTAATAAATAAACATTAAGAATATTAATAGTAACTGTAATTTATTTTGGTAATGATTTCTTTAAAATGAAGTTAACTATAAAACACAATCAATGAAAACTGACAATCATAAAATACAAGCACAAACTAAAAAGATCAAAACTGAGCTAAACTAATTTACAGTAAACACAGTGAAACTTTTCCTGTCTGAATGAATGAATTAAATTCATCTAAAAAAAAATCTGAACAATACCTCTGTGTGGAGAACAAGGGAGACACACTGCTGCTAGTCAACACTGACAGTCAGTGAAGCAGCATTTTACTCTGCCTTGCATAACCTTTATGGAGATCAAAGGTTAGCCTGTTTAGAGGTGATTGCCATTCTTCGTTCTAACTGGACAGCTTAGTCACAATGACAAATCATTTAAAATCAGTGGTAACACTTAATAATAATGACACGCTATTGGGCATTAGTAAAGTATTAGTAAGTGCTTCATTCATTTATAAAGCATTATTCCTCCTTAGTCTGTATCAATACAGATATACAAGATATACAAGCAAGGTGTGAAAAAAGGCATGGGTCATTATCAGCAGAGGTTATTGGGTGAGGTGACCTCGATAGGTCATCATGTGAACTTTTGATGTCATCTCCATAGCTCACCATGTGACTTATTGAGGTCACCTGATTATGTCTACTGCACATATGCATTCAAAATTATACATCAATTGATGCATCAATGCCAGTGAGGCTGTAAAAGGAGATCAGCGGATCAGAAGACCTCCAAAGAGATGTGGATTAGAGGAGTTTGTTGATGTAGCTACAGTTGATCATTGTAGCGGCAACCTTCGGTCCTTCTTTGCCGCTTCTGCAGGACGTAAAGTTTCTGACTCGTGCTCTTGTTAAGTCGCTTGGATGCCTTCCGGTAGCAAAAACGAGGCGAAGGAAAAAAGGGGCAAAACATTTATTCTCCATACAAATCGAAAGGTACAAAACAAATACCTCTGGTGGGAGCTCCGTTTACATTCCCTTTATGTTACAAAAAATATAACATTAAAACGGCGACGGTCAGAAAACTGTTGCTCCACGTCCTGCTTGCTTACCTAACCTTTTACCCACACCCCTCCGCATGCGGGCCAAATATACACCCCCTTTACGACATCTATCAACACTTTACAACAACAACAGACTAACAAAGCAGGATTAATTTATGGAGCACAGCCTATTACATTATAACATAAAATGATCAAGATTATAATAGAAACTTAAAGATCATGACAAATACTTAAATATGGCATGATGTAACTGAGTAAAATATTGGCCTGGACTTGGCTCCAACAATCATTATGCGAACATCTGTTGTGTCACAGAACCAAATACACTGGAAGAGGCTATGTCAAGTCCAAATGCAAAGGAGTGGAAAGAAGCAGCTGATTTGGAATATGAGTCACTGCTGGAAAATGGCACATGGGATTTAGTGGAGCTACCAAAGGATCGCAAAGCAGTTGGATCAAAATGGGTCTTTAAAGTTAAGCATCACAGTGATGGACAAGTGGAAAGATACAAGTGCAGACTTGTTGCCAAAGGCTATTCACAGATTTATGGTGCAGACTATGATGAAACATTCTCTCCAGTTGTACGATTTGGTTCAATTCGTACATTGTTGTCATTTGCTGTGCAAAACAATCTAAATGTGCATCAAATGGATGTTGTGACTGCATTCTTGAATGGACACCTGGAAGAGGAAATCTACATGGAGCAGCCAGAGGGTTACATCAAACCTGGGCAGGAACATCAAGTGTGCAAACTAAACAAGTCAATATAGGGACTGAAGCAGTCTCCACGTTGCTGGAGCAAAGCTTTTACAGAGTTCATGAAAAGCATTGGTTTTACACAGAGTACTTCAGATCAGTGTGTGTTTGTTAGAACAGGTCAGGAGTTGGAAATATTGGCTGTGTATGGTGATGATCTGATTTTGATTACAGAATCAGCAGAGAGCATGAAGAACTTAAAGGACACTCTGAAGAAACACTACAAAATGAAGGACATGGGTGAGCTATCCTACATTCTGGGCATCTCAGTGGTCCAAGACAAGGCCAAAAACCATGTTGTGCTTCAACAGAGACAGTATATTGAAAACATACTACAAAAGTATGAAGTGGACAGTGCCAATCCAGTAGCAACTCCAGCTGACACAAATGTCAAATTAAGAAAGAGTGATGATGTCAGTAAACCTGCAAACCCAAGCATGTATCAGTCAATGGTTGGAAGTTTATTGTATGCTGCCATGGCCACATGACCAGATATAGCGCAAGCAGTGAGTGTGGTGTCAAGATTCAATGCAAACCCAAACACTACACACCTTACAGCTGTGAAAAGAATCCTGAGATATTTGAAAGGAACGCTAAACCTGGGACTCAAATATCAAAGAACAGAAACAGGAACCTTGGTTGGGTATTCAGCTGCTGATTGGGCAGGTGATCAGGATGATCGACGTTCTACAACTGGAAACATCTTTCTACTTGCAGGAGGTGCCGTTAGTTGGCTTAGCAAGAAACAAGCAACTGTTGCACTTTCAACTGCAGAGGCTGAGTATATTGCTTTGAGCCAAGCTGCACAAGAAGGAGTTTGGTAACCAAACCACTGCCTAGACAAAAGTTTGAGTATCTCAGAGGGAAGATTGGACTGTGTTCAGTTTAAAAGGGTTATCATATACTTAACATGCCTATACTATGCTTATGTTAAGATGGCGAGCATTTAACTGTAATGAAGAATAATAGTTTTGTCTAAGATTAACATAGTACTTTTTTGTGTGAGTTCAAAACAAAAGAGAAAATGTTTATTTTCTAGTAACACTGTGATATAGGTGCATATTTTTTTTGAAAGAAATAAGCAATGGCAGTCAAGTAAGTGAACTCCATGGTAAAATTAAGTGGGATTGTTGTAATAGTAATTTTACAATGTATGTTGAAGGGATATTACTGCCCTCTGTTGGTGTGTCTGTGCATTACATGCAATAAAAGGGGTTCGTTAAAAGCTTCAATGGCGACCCACTATGATTATTTATACCATATGCGAAAGCACATCATATACCAGAGGATATATGTGCACATTGTGTGATTTCAAAAATTAAAATAAAGTGCAGCAGCCTACAAGGAAGAGAGTAACCATGCCATTAAATTGATATGCTCTTTCACTACTCAGGAATTCATGTTTGGACAGATGGCCACAGTGTCACAATTCTCTGGTTAACCTATCAACGATAAATCATCCATTTCACCAGAAAAAAGTTTTAGTAATATTACATGACAATATTAACTGTAAGCTGTAACACCTGCAAACTGTAATTTTATGGCAAGCTAAAATATCAGTAAGTTGGACACCAAATCTACTCATAGCGTTATTTAAAAATGAAGGCTGTAAAAGCAATTCTCTCTCTCATACACACACATAACTCTCTAGACGAATAATATATGAATGTTTTAAGTCTGACTGAATAAAATAAGTCTTGTAATACTTTTCTATGTTGAGCATATGCATACCTTTGGCCAAGCTACTATTCAGTGAAGACGTGCCTCTAATCAGTTTTTATCATTCTAAAATTGTATAAATTCTAGTTCTTCTAACGTGTTTCCTTTTTACGTTTTATGTTTTAATTCACTATTATTATTATTTCACACATCCCAAAACATTTTCGTTGTTAACTCCGACTGTTGCAAGCTTACGTGTAGGCAACCCCCCTGTTCTCAGAAGTGCTCACACACACACACACACACACACACACACACACACACACACACACACACACACACACAATCCCTTTGCACTCCCTACATGAAACGTCCCTCTTCTTTAACATTTCGGCTAACCTGGCCTCTTCCGCATCCGACGTATATCCCTGAATCGGTAATTCTACCTCCTCCTCCGGCCCGCACGAGCTGCGGCAGCAGAACTTGTGGTGACAAACATATCAGTAAGTTTTGCACATTTTGCTGCGTTCACTCGAAGGCTCCCCCCCTTTTTTTTCTCGGAATTTTCTGCACTCCCATTGCGTTTTTTTTTTTTTTTTTTTTTTTTTTAAATTTGGCCATTTGTCCAAATGCCACTCCTCTCCAACTCCGGCCAGCTCAAATTGATAACCTAGGTTAAAAAGGGGAGGGAGGGACAGACCGAGGAGGGCTGAGAGATTTCGTTCGATAAGCCCAATGTCCTTCAAGAAAATCAACCAATGGTACGTCGCGGTCGCAAAAAAAATTATAATATACTTTTTGGGGTAAATTATGATAGCCCTGGGCAGGCCCACAGGCGTACGCCAGATAGCTAGTCCAGACCTGGCTCACAGTATTAGTTCTCAATATCGCGTTAATTTGGATTTTTTAAATAATAGCCATTTGAAATGTCGTTTACTAGCTTTTGTATAAATTGAGAATGCGAATAAACTGACTATTCCAGAATTTCACTTTCACCTTTATTTTGAAATTGGGCCTTAAGTTCTCTTACCGTAATATTTAGGACACACACAACTCCAAACATGCACCCCCTGCACTGACTGTGCTTCTAAAACTGGAGGCTGGTTTGAGGAAATCCTCATCTGAACCCACCTGTGATGTCCAGTCCTGAGGCATAAGGGTCACAGGACAGACCAACCTCTCTGATAAGGTCTCAGGCAAACCAGATGTCGAAATATTTGCGCAGTGAAATTTGGCTACCTGTGGTAAGTAAGGAAAATATTAACCTGACAGCTTGAACATGTTGTTCCCGTGATACCTACCTACATCCATCTAGTGTCAAGCAGTTTTCCTTTTCTCATTCTTCCTAATCACCTCCTGGGCTCTATAGGCGTATTTTCTCTAGAGTTTTTGTTTTTTCAGGGAGCAGGTCAAGTTCCTGATAAATACCCCAAACTTTGAAAACGCCACCTACTGACCAATCATTTCTCAGGAAAGATGGCGTTAGCAGATAATCCTGAGGACCGCTGTGTGGAGATGGTAAGAAGGTATCTCTTTTTAACAAACTGTCTAAAACTGACGATTTGCGTGATTAGTAGAGAAAATTCAGATTCAGAAGAGAGAAATTTTTCCTTTATTTAGGTCTAAGTAAAATACTATTTTTAAAGTAGTTTAATTTGCTCTAGACCATTAAAAAATAATAAAAGAGCACAAGAGACTTCCTCCCGTGCCTAAGTGAAATAACAGTGTCACTGATTAGGCATTTACCCCATTTAGACATTGCTATCTCTGTTTCTGGGGTGGGCTGCAGCACCTCTGTTTCAGAAAGTTTATTGTTAAAGTCATATTTACTTGTTATTCCCAGTAAATATGCAGCTCTGGATCTGTCCCCGTTTGACAGTCATCCTCGATTGGGAAAAACCTGTTGTTACGTCCCCTGGCTAGTCTAGGGGGTTGAAGGGACGAACATAAAGGTGGATAGAGAAGGAGGAGCCAAGATGGTAAGTGTAGAAGGTCTATTTAATGCTGGTGATGAGATTTGGGTTCAGACTGAGGTATAACTTCAGGGAGAGCCAAGGCCAACATAACAAACAAAACATCCCTGATGTAGAAATAAAAGAAACTTACCTAACTCCAAAGAAATAAAATATACAACCTATAACCATAACCTACCTAACAACACAAACAGGAGAAAACAGGGTGTCAAAGCAAAAGGCAGCTCTCCCCTACAAGCAGTCTGAACATGAAAAACAACAATGCTCATACAAGTTACAAAGGCATGCAAGCCTGCACAGGTATGACAACCAAAATGGCCAGAGGGCACAGAAGCACAGCTCCACAGGCATTAAGTAGTGCTCTGCTGATTACCAATTAGCCGGACTCTGCGCAGCATCCAATCAGGACAGAGGAGGTGGAGCCTAGACACAACAAAGGGTTAGTAGGGAGAAGAGACATCCTCCTGGGGGATGTAACACCTGTAATAACCAGCGTCTCATGTTCTTGTTGGCATAAGTGAAGCCACACAATAAAAAGATGCACCCAGTATGTCAAACTTGATTCTTATGACTGGCGTAGACTTGCAAGTTGAGTTAAACATATTCAAAAAAGCCTACTTTCACTAAAAGACTTGTGCTGTAGTTACTATATCGACCCTCACACTATCTCCTTCAGATGTTGCTGACGTTGGTACGCAAAGGTCTCTGATTCCCATTTCTTTACACTCATTTATCATATACTGTATTACTAATGCATAATAGACCTAGTTTATGAAATTTGTATTTGAGCCAAAGATTCATCAAAAATTTGACTATACTGTCCACATCAAATGTAGGATGTTTTAATCATGGAAAAAGACTTGATTTGTTGTTAAAATGAGACCACTGAGTGTGAGTGTCTGACAGGTTTCAGAGACTCTGGAAGGAAGAAGTGGCAAAGAGAGGCCCGGAGAAGGCCTCGCTAGTTTGTGTGGCCCTGCGCTTTCTGAGAACCAGGCTGATTCGGTCGACTGCTGTTTCCGTCTTTGTGGCATTGTCATTATTTCTCGGGCCTGTGAGTTATCTGTCTTACAATATATAATACACTGCTCCAAAAAATGAAGGAGACTTTTATAATTAGAGTATAACGTCAACTAGGATAAAGCTCTGGGATATTTATCTAGACAGTTAAGTAGCAGAGGGGGTTATTCATCACTTTCAACTGCTTTGGTATTAATGAAGTCAACAACAGGTGGACCAGAGGGGGGAAATGAGAAACAAGAATGGTTCTACAGGTGACATTTTCACTGAAATCTTTTCCCTAATCTGTTCTGACTGATTTTTTTTTTTTTTTAAATTCACCAACTTTGCTAGGTTCAATCTCACTACTGGTAGCATGAGGCAGTATGTGGACACTAAAGAGGTTACACAGGTAGTCCAACTCCTCGATGATGGCACATCAGTATGTGCCTTTGTCAGGTTTGCTCTCCCAACACAAATAAAACCATCTAAGCAATTAAAGAAAAAAATATCACCTTAACAGGATATAGCTATATGGAACTGACAAATTACATTAGTTGGAGAAGTTACCAAGAGTGGCATGGGGTGCATGCTTTTATTTTAAGCAGAAAAAACCCCCAAAATTGCACATTTTCATTATAAAGCTAAAATTATAGAGCTAAAAAGCCAAAGCCCCCTCTCTGCTACAGTTTGACATTAATAACACCCCAATCGTGTGAGTTTTACACCCACCCTAACTATGCACCAAGCTGCAGTTTAAATGATTCCTGCTCTTTAAGTAACTCAATCCTTTCTTTCTGGCCTTTCAGACTGTTTTGGTTTATCACATTTTAAACTGTATTGGAGACCCAGGACAGTCTGGACTTTTGAGTTGTGTTGGTTTGGCCTTCGCTCTGTGTTTCACAGAGTTAAGCAAAGTATGGCTAGCCGCCCTGCAGTGTGCAATAAACCTGCGTTCAGCAGTCAGACTGAAAGGAGCATTCTCATCAGTTGGTTTTCAGAAGGTCATGTCTCTGCAGATACAAAGGACCATTTCAAACGGAGAGGTATTTGTATCATCTTATTTCAGTTCACAGGTGAATGGAAAACTTAAATGTTAATTTTTTTTCTCTGCTCTTTCATCTAGATAGTTAACATTTTGACCAATGATTGCCACAGAGTTTTTGAGGCAGTAACGTTTGGGTGCTTAGCGCTATCTGTTCCTGTTGTCTATCTTGTGTGCGCTAGCTACGCCTGCTATATTCTTGGCTACACAGCACTGATTGGAGTCTTTATTGAAGTTTTCATCATGTTTTCACAGGTATGTACATATTTCTTAGACTGAAATAGTATTATTATAAAGAGTGAAAAAGAGACAAACAGTATTTAAATGGCTCTGATTTTGGAACAACAGTGTCCAAAATGGTTGAGAAATTTTAAAATGTAAATAAAAACCAAATGCACTGGTTATTCATTTGAAATGTCATTTTTCATTTGAAGCATGTTGTGTTTTTTGGTTATTTATTTATTACAGGCTAATTCTAAAATTGATGCCAGCCACATGTTCCAAAAGACTGGGAAAAAAGCTGTGTAATGCTGCAAACTGGGGATTAGCAGCAATACCACAATCGAGGGGGGCCCTTCTGTAGGTGTGACCCTAGTCTGCATGGTCCTGGTCTGGCTGTGGCTCAGATACATGTCTATTGTTTATGGATCATTGGTTGGTTTTCATACAAATGCTATTTTCTCACCTATAATTTTCTCCTTATTCTTTTCGTTTTACTGCCAGTATTCTTTAACCAAGTTTAACACGATTTTAAACTGCAAAATTAGAAAACAATAACTTGTATTTAATTCAACTGTATATTTAAAATGTTGCTGTCTTATTGCTTGTTTTCAATAGCCACTAATATATTATGTTTGTGGTGTTTAGCTAATTTTCTGGTGTGCTCATGAAAAAAAAGAAGTTGAAGGCTGTAGCGATAAAAGATGGCAGAATTCGGTGAATGGGTGAGATTCTCAACAACATTAAACTTATCAAGATGTACGCCTGGGAAGACTGTTTTGAGAAGAAGATTAAGGGTAAGTTAAGTAGCTGTATGTTGGCCAACAGAATTATGTTATGTGTATATAAATAAAGAATTGACACATGTGTAGTCGTGCTGCCAGAACCTCCACAGAATAGGGGCGAGACTGCTGTCACACCCACATAGGAATGTTCCCCATTTAGAGCCCCAAAAAACACATTTAGGCTTTAGTAGTGTTCTTGTCTCACCAATACATGCTCTCAGCATATATTTATTATTTATTTTTACCCATTTTCTATTTGTCAATCTCTCTTCATTAGAAGTTTGAGCAATCTTCAGTATTGGAAATGTTTTGTTTATGAAATAACTGGAAAAATGCACAGATTTTGATTTCTGTTGTGTTCTCTTACCAGCCTTGCATAAGAGGATTCAGTGTGATTGTTTTCCCCATCTTTAAACATTATAAGGAACTATGCCTTTATTTGTCTGTAATTTTTAACATGAATGTTCAACTCTAGCAGAATTGGTCAGAGCAAAAAATATTATTGAAGGTAAAGAGAACTGGCAAACTTTTTCTCTCACAGGATTTAGAAAAAAGAAAAAGGAACAACTAAAGTTGGTGGGTTACATCCAGGCTACTAATTGTACCACTACCCTAATCTCTGCCACCTTTGCCACCGTTCTGACCCTCTTTATACACACTGTGATAGGCTTGCCACTTTGTGCAGCTAGTGTGAGTACCACAGAAGTACTGCAGTAATGACAAATTTTAAATGTGGTTTACCACAAATTGAAATTTTCCTGTATTTTTCTTTATTTCCAGGCCTTTACCACTTTTGCCATCTTCAACTTCATGAGTTACTGCATTGCTCTTATGTTTATGTCTGTGAAGTGGATAATTGAAGCTGGAGTGTCACTAAAATGATTAAGGGTAGATATACTGTAAAGGCTTGCTTTTCCTCCTCCCAGAGGGAGGGCGTGTGTATGGGTTCTGTTTGTCAGTTACTTAGCAGTCTAGCAGTTTTAAATTTATCGTTTTCAAATTTTGTGTGATGTTAGATCTTAATAAGAGCTTAAGCATATTTAATTTTGGTGATAATTGGGTCAAGGTTGCTCACACCTACTGTTAAAATTGGTAAAAACTTTATATTACCCAGAATTTTTTATGGACTGTCTTCAAAGCTTCATAAAAATACACTACACCTTTGGGGACTTGAGTAACTATATTGGTTAAACAATGTTGACTTTGACCTCCCAGAAATCATATGGAGTAATATATAAAAAGTGCACTCTCGCTCACCTTCAACTTTAATTTATTCTGCACATTTTGACTGCTTTGTCCCCCTCCCTGGATCAATTGTTCTCACACTTTGTTCATCAGCAGTCTTCAGAGTCCACTGAAGGTTGTTCCCTATGAGCAAAGTATAGTGTGCATTGGCTTTCATCAGGAATTGAAAGAGTCTGCTGAAAGGGAATTTCAGGTGGCCAGAGCAGGGCTTCTAGGGACTAATCTAAAAGCAGTCATACTTGAAGCGGTGCAGCCTTCCCTGAAAAGGCCACCTTCAAGAAATATAAACCTGTTTAGGTTTTAGCTTTGCTTTTATCGGCAGTCTTGGAACTTCTTGGTCACACCTGGTATATAATCTAAATAAATCACTGTGCTGTGATTGTTGAAACTTAAACTTAATGGTATTGTTTTAATCACAAATTGTGAACCATTTTGGTAAGTCACTCCACTTCAGATGCAACAAGAGTGTTTGGGGGGGGGCATTTCTCACAGTTGTCTTAACTTGTGTCTTTTAGTATTTGGAGTTCTGTGATGGCATCTTGGTTCTGGAGGATGGTGAGGTTCAGGAGGCTGGAAACCATCAAGCCCTGATGAATGCAAATGGGTGCTATGCTCAACTCATCAGCAATTACCAGATGGAAGAGTCTCAAGTAAGGATTTCACACAAACTGCAGTACAAATGTTTGTAGCTCTGTTACTCTTACTGTTCAGTTAGCTCAAAAGCCTTAGTATCAGTTCTTTGTTGCTTTGAATTCACTGAGTTCTGTAAGCTTTATTATGTTAAGTATGCAGACCTAACTGTGAAACTGTTGTTCTCTTTTCAGAAGCAGATGGAAGATGAAGTGATGTCCCTGGATCCTGCCAACTTGAATGAATCTGAGCTCAGACCTGGTGAAGATGTTGGAATGATGAACAACGGTATAAAAAACATGAGCATGAAATTATTATTATTATTATTATTATTATTATTATTATTATTATTATTATATGATTTGTAATGCACTATTTAATTCATGGTGAACTATGAAGACACATGTAAGAAATATTTGGAATAACAGATGTTATGGGACAGGTGCACCATTGTGGCACATTTCTCAAAGTCCATGTGTGACAGTGTCTGTGCCTTCAATCTAGCTGTCATGATATGACTCTGTTAGCTACTTTAACTTTTATTGATGTCTTAGAACTTAGAAAATAACTGCATTTTGTGCAGGTTTATGTTCATATTGGAAGAGAGATATCAGGTGAAACTGAAGAGCTTAAAAAGTTGTGCTGTCCGAGTATAGTGTTCATTGATTGTTTTTATAATCTCTAAAATATCTATAATCTGACCATATATCTATCTTTATCAACTCTCTAGAGATACAACTGTATACCCCAAAACTTGGATCCGTTCAATAAGTACACTGATGAGGAGATCTGGAGAGAAGTTGTTTCTTTCCATGTGCTCCTCCTTAAATCAGTACTTTCCTGCAGTAACAGAGGCTCATATTGTCTGATAGATCATTCTTTTGGATGAAGCCACAGCCTCCACAGATCCAGAAACAGATGCTCTGATCCAAAAGACAGTCAAAGAGGCCTTTCAAGACAGCACTGTGCTCACCTAGCACATCGCATCAACACAGTGATGAATGCAGATCGTATTCTAGTCATGAACAATGGACAGGTAACAAAGACGGTTAGACAAAACTAATCCGTATATGATCTTCAGCCTCAACTTACCAAGTGTTCTCTTTGACAGGTGGCAGAATTGGACCACTCAGATGTCCTGAACCAAAGGCCAGAGTCTCTGTTCTCTTCTCTCCTGGCTGCTTCTAAAACAATGAAGAGATGAACTGGTGTGAAGCTGTGATATCAAATAAGCACAGTAATCCCTGTAATTTAATACATTTACACAACATATTTTAATGTTAATGAAAAGGCAGTGTAACCTTTTTATAATTTTGATCAGTCACAAACATATTGGAGTATGTCGACCTGTCCCTCACACTTGGCTGCTATTTAGTTTTCGCTTGTTTGGTTCTCTGTTTTATTAGGTTTAAGCAGCAAAGCTTTTTTAAGCTTGATCATCAAGCTAACCATTAGGTTCAGGTTTAGGTTAAAATGTACTTTCACAGTATAAAACATCACAGCATTCCCCATTAGTATTCACATGCACTGTACACAGTTGTCTGATGTCTCTGAAATAATATTGCTCTGTTTATTACCAATAACTACTGATGATGCTGCCCTATTTTAAATGACAAGAAGGCAGAGGAGGGTACACAATGGTGAGAAATGATGAACATTCACTTATCAGTATTTTATTATTTCTCTATTTAGATAAGCAGGATGTGTTTTTGTTTTTCAACCTCGAAGTTTTTATAAATAGTGCATTTTACTTTTTACTTAAATGCATGTTAAATGTTTCATGGCTTTAAATAGAAGTGAACACGAGTTTTTTTTAATGTAAGTTTTAAATCTATTGTGTAAGTAGGGACAACTCACTTAAAAAAAAAAAAAACATGGTGAGGGCTAACCTAATAGTTACGTAGGTTTTTAGGTTTAATTTAAAAATGTAATTAGTTGATGTAGTAGCAGACAAGCTCACAAGAACCTTAAAAGAACCTTTTGATGGGCGTATAAAAAGTTTTTTTTTCTTATTTTAAATAAATTTCAGCTGTTAACTGGTTAAAAAGTGCCACAAACTGACCCACATTAAGAGGATGTGTAGCAGGTGAAACTGCTGTAAACTAGGGGCAAAATGTTTACTGCCACACATATTAATAGATGCCTTTTCTTAAAATTGAAGAGCTTAAAAATCATTCATTTTAATAGAGGGTTATTTGGAACTTTGAGTTGTATGTTGTTGGAAAATGTATGAAAAATGAAATTATAATTAATAAAAAGTCATCAAAACTTGTCTTTCAATTAAGCAGAGGTCATATGGTTATAAAGAAGTAAAACTTCAGTGAAAGAAGCTCGAGTCAAGTGCACTTCAGCTGTCATGTGGGGTAAGGACACACGAGGGCACTACAGGCTTCTATACTCGTATCCTTGAAGGACTGGGTTTCATTTTTAATATGACCGATCCTCCCTTGGCACAGACACATGTTCTCAAAGAAATGCTCTGTGAGGTTACCTTTTACTCACTGAACTTTAAATAACTCATCTCTCTGAAGAGAAACTACAAGCCTCTAAATATATAATAATGTATGGTTCAGTTAAACGGTACGAGTCTTTTTACATCACTTAATTGTAAATATCCACACCTGCTGAACAGATTAGACTGGGCTTAATAATTCATTGCAAGTTGTTGCATTAATATTGGTTTAAAAAATAATTTGGTTTTCCCAAGCTACATGGGAAAATATGCCATTTTATTAAAACTAGGAGAGGTTTTCTTTTTCTAATCAGTGATTGTATAGAATTCTTCTAAAGTTTTCTACAGTCATTATTTCTAATACTACAGGTGTTTAGATTCATCTGAAGTCAATTATAATTGTTTATAAATAAAATTTATACAGCAAAACTCTTTTTGTTATCGTCTTTTGTTTTGTTTGCAGCATCCAGGATCTTGTCTTATCTGATCATATGTAAAGCTTGCTTCAGTCTTTTACTAGTAAAGAATCACGACTTGCATGAGAGAAACTGAAACATCAGATTAGCAATGAAATAGTTTTTGAGGTATACGGACAAGTATTGTACTTCAGAAAAGTATTCTACAAATGTAAAGAATTTTTTATCTTTACATTTGTGCAGAATAAACTGAAGGTTGAATTGCACAGAAGGCACTGAAGGAAAAAATATACTGGTGGCAGCTCAGTCAGCACAAGGCCTGCTGTGTGTCCTCAGGCGTGACTTCTGTGTGCTGCTTTAATGTAACTAAACTGAACTTGTAACATATAACAATAGAAGAGAGAAGCATGACATGCTCACAGTTTATTTACCCTTATGCAAGTCAGGTCTATCTTGGAGTTTGAATGATTTGGTTTATGTTTCTTAACAATTAAAAATTTCCATGCAGAGAAATCTCCAGTGGTCTTCAGGCAGCATCTAAAGATTTCAGCTGGGTGCTCAAAGCTTCACCAGCAGTGTTGTTGAAGGAGGAATGTAACACTGAATGTTCTGCTTCGAGCAGATCTTCTCAGCTGCCTTAGAAATTTAAACCAGTGACCTCACAGTCACAAGCTTTCTCACCCCTCCTTGAGGCACAGGCTAAATTAAAATATCAATGGATCAATTATTATACTGGGTCTGTGTTTGGGTGAGTGCCGACTCACATGCTGTGTTTTCTGCCTAAAAAGTCTTATGTCTGCATTTTTTAATATCTTGATCTCCTGTTTTTGAAAGATTGCATCTGTGATTTAAACTAATGAAGTACTAGATTGAATACACCCATGTACAGATGAAATATCGGGGCCTGGGCACCAACATGAACACCCAGCTCTCCCACAGTGAAGAGTCACTGAAATGAAAATAATAATAATGGATTGGATTTATATAGCGCTTTTCAAGGCACCCAAAGTGCTTTACAATACCACTATTCATACAAACATACAAAATTACAGAAGAAGACAAAAAGTGATGACAGAATGTTTTGTATGTTTTTGTGGATGTTTCATACTTCTTTAGTATTTGTATATTTTGCATGGGTTGTGTGGTCTTGTATACTGAGTTGGTCTTTTTGCAGCCATATCTAGTGTAGTTGTGCCTTTATTGTAAGTTTGTGCCATATTTCTGTAGTTTTGCTTCATTTGGAGTCATTTTGCATCTCCTCTGTATCTTTTTTTGCTGTTATTTTTGTCATTTTTAGTGGCCAATTTGCTGCTGCTTTTGGTTGTTTTGCCCTTTAATGTAATAATGCAATAGTTTGTCTCTAATTGTTGGAGTTATTTGTGTGTTTTTTCACATTACAGTGGCCATTTTGTTTCTGTTTGTGATTGCTTTAGGTGTGTACCAATTTGTGTGTGTGTGTTTTTTTGTTGTTGTTGTTGTTGTCATTTTTAAGTAATCATCTCTTTATTTTTTGTCTTTTTTATTTATTTGAATGTTGTTGTTTTTTTGGGTGGGGTGTAGTGTGTCTCAGAGTTGAAGGTCAGCTAACCCTTTGTGCCCCTTATCCATCAAAGAATATCTAGATTGTTTTCTGAAGCGTTGTTTTATTCGTTAGCGAGCTACTTACACTGACACGTTTAAAGTATAAATGTGAACTTATTTACAGCCCTGTTTCAGACACGTACACACTGCAGTACAAATCGTGTATGCCTGTCAGTGTGAGTGTGTCGGAAGATCCAAGCACACACGTACAGACGCTGCTATACACACACTCCAGTGGGAGGAGCCAAACCTCTCGCAGCTCCGAGTTTGTCAGTTTCCTAAATATAGCGGACAGGATCTGTCCGTGTCTTTCAGCCGGAGACACTTTGATAAAAAGCCCGTATTTACAGAAGCACCGGGAGGCCAGCGGGGGTAAGTGGAGTAAACATGTGTCTTTGTATGTGAAAGTGTGCTGACTGTGTTCTGTGCTTTGGAGACTGAAAGGGAGGGGAACCACGACCCTTCTTGAAGTGCTGCGATCTTCTTTCAGTGTTTGAATTTCTTCCAAAACTGCCTTAAATGTTGCTTCTGCACTGCTTCATCTCTGTCTAGGCTATATTTGGTAACGGTTCGTGCTTGTTGTGATCTCATGCCTGAGTGTCGCTTACTGTGAATACTGTACGCGGAGGCTACTGTACATGTTGTGATAAGTGGTCTGAGTGAGAGCTGCATAAAACTTTGATTGGATTGGACTATCTTTGACAAAGCGTTGCCTTTTCTGCGTATCTCGCTTCGAATATCGCAAAACCTGAGGTGTCCTGAACAACGTGTGTTATTTCCTACAGGTACACAACACCCAAAACTATAACCATAATAGGAGTGAATTATACTAGTTTAAATAGTTTTAAGCCAAACTATCCAGTAGTCTAAAGCAAAAAAAAAAAAGAAGAAGAAGAAGAAGAAGAAGAAGAAGAAGAAGAAGTCCAAACCATAATTTGTTTAAAAACTAGTTGAAGCAGTGGCATGATTGAAGAGTTATTACAACTCATCACAAAATATCTGCTGGAAGATTTCAAAGTACACGCTGCTGGAGGTCCTGTGACGACCAGTACACATAGCTGGGGAACAACAATCAAAAATCATAGATGTATGTCAATAAAATAGAAAATTTAACATTACGTTTTTCAAAAAGGTTTTCGACTCTCTGAACCTGACACATTACGCTTAAGTATTTTACCTAAAGGGGAAATGCTGCTTTAATCCTTATTTTACTGCACATGCTCATGTTGACCCTTCTCATATTGCCAGATTTGAGAAGTTGTCGCTTTCAGTCAAAACCGAAAAATTACGTTGCTTAGTAGGTTTATGATTTACTTTCAGAACCACCACACATCAAGAGGTGCTGCTCACAAGAACTGGGTGCTGGCTTCCCAATTATGACGAATCAGGAGAATAAAAGGCTTTTAGGAGCAACAGAACAAGCAATGTGAATTAAAAAAAGAATCTTTAAAGCTTTCAATGATGCAAACCTACACATATAGCACCCTAATAAAAATGTATAGCTTTACATGATATGTCTATTAAAATAGAGTAAACTTCAAATCAGGCTTGAAACTCTCTTATATCTGTTATTACAACCCTAGTGCTAGAACACCTCCGTCTTACTTCATTCATTCCAAGAAGTGTGGCAATCATTTCAACTAGAGATATGTCATGTAGGAAATAAAGCAACATGTGAGACTGTAGCCTGTAGACGTCTTAGGGGGGGTCTCTCTCTCTCTCTCTCTCTCTCTCTCTCTCTCTCAACATACAATTGGAAACAAACAATATAATGAAACGTCATGAAATAAACAGTTATGACATAATACAGAACTGTTTTTGTTCGTTTGTTTGCAGTACCGAGATTATCCACTAGGAGGAATTTATTAGCAAGGCTGAGTGGTGGGGCATATGCAATTATTTGAATACATCCATACCAGTCATTTCCTGTCCTCTTCCTCTCACCCCAACCAGTTGCAGTAGATAGCCGACCCCCCTGAGCCTGGTTCTGCATGAGGTTTCTTCCTGTTAAAAAGGAAGTTTTTCCTTCCTACTGTCACTAAAGCATTTAAAAGCACTCAAAGCTTAAAGGGGGTCATATGATTGTTGGTGTTTTCTTTGTTTTCTTTGTATTATTGTAGGGTCTTTCCCTTACAATATAAAGTGCCTTGGGACAACTGTTGTTGTGATTTGGCACTATATAAGTTAATCGAATTAATACATACTTTACTTACTTTTCATTTTTATATGTATTTTCATATATTTTATTGAAACCACACAAAATAAACCTCTGTTTTAAAAATTATTTTTACTGTAGGCATCACACATTTGCACAAAAGCAAAGTCAATCTTCTTCGGTTTTTAGAAAACAGTCTGCTATTTAGAAAGCAGCATGTCACTTAAATCAGTCTCTCCAAGAAGACAGAGAATGACAGAGTTCAGTCTCCAGTTGTGTGATTTCTATTAAACAGGCTGTGGTTATTTTATTGGTGTCTGTTACTTGATAAAACAGCTAGCTCATCAAATCACTGCTTATTGCTGAGATAAGGGATAAGTACTGACTAACTCATAAAGTTTAAAAACATGGTTTCCCTCACTTTGTTGTAAAGTTGTTTTTAAAGGATATATGAAGATTATTTAATTTGCTAACCTAAACTTGAAGTGTGGTGTGTTTTTAGTTCAATTCTACTTGGTAAAAGAATGATTTTGTTAAGGGTGGTGTCACTGATGCTGGGTTAATCATTTCTTTGATAGTCTAACTGTGGCACTATAAGGAGCACTGTGGAGTGTGTCAGCATTTAATTGCTAAACTCGTAATACAGCACTTTTCCTTTGATAAACATGAGAAGGGAAAAACAGCGACATAATATAATGTCTGTGGGAAACACCTAAAAACCTTTTAAATGTGTTGGCTTATAAGAAAGACCAATCCACCTTTTTTTTTTTTTTTTTTACACATCTTATTGAAAGGCAGATTGTTAATAGACAGAAGTTATTGGCTCTGTAGTTCAGGCATTCATCCTTGTCCCTGCTGCCTCATTCCTGCTCTTTGTTTTCATATTTCATTAGCAGGGCGAGCAGCATGTACCATCAGCTTCAATTATCCTCCCTGTCAGCGGACCGGCAGGGCCTGTCTGCTGGCTTTAGTGATTACAGGCTTCAGGGGACAGGTAATCAGGTCATGGTTACACTGTCACCCTGTCAGACTGCTGAGACCACGGGGAGCAAATGGGATGAAAGAACTCTACCATCTTCAGTCAGTTAAGGCTAGATATTGATAGTGTATATAACCCGAATACTGTCTGGCATCATTTTGGTGCAGTATCACATAGTGTATTTAGTGTATATTTTCTTTCCATTAAACATGGTTGAAACTCTGATGGCATCTCCCTGGTCAAAACTATTCATGTGAGAATGCCAAAAAAAAAAAAAAAGACCATAAGCGAACAAATG